ACCGGATTAAAATCTCCTTGGTGCTGTTCTTTTTTCCGCGTTCCGAGTCCTCCTTTACCAATCAATCGCGCTGATTTACCCTGGCATTCGGAAACAAGCCAGCTCTCTCTTTCTCTCTCCAGTCATTACGTCCGTTTCATGCCTGTATTCGATTTCAATTAGGCTAATGATTTCGCGGGATGAACATATATATCATTTTCGTCGGTTGCTTTTTCTATTTGCCGTACATTTGCCGGATTGGATTTACCGAAAGTTTTTCCGTCCCCTACGGCCTTTACCAGTAGCCGCGCGCTGGATTTCTATGCCGCGCCCAACACCCGCGCAAATTGAGGGATGAACAACAAGAATCAGTCCTGTCGAAAATAACTACTTCATAATTTAATTGGACATGCCATACACACGCTGTATATCGTACACATATAAAACCAATTGTTGAACATATAAAAAACCAACGAGAACGCGATTGTTAAGTTCTTATCGGATTAAATTTATAACAAACCGAGTGTACTATGAATTTCCACAAATTGCATTGTGCGTGCGTAATATCCAAAAAGATTTAATAATTACACGTATAGAAAATTGTCGAAGTGTATGATAATATTTTTTATCAAAATCTGATGACCGGCAAAAAATTCAAACGATTACTTATTAATAAATGTCGGTTTATCGTGAATTTTCTTTAAGTTTTTCAGTTGTCGCTATTGCCTAATTATGTATTGTAAAATTCGTTATATACTGATTGATTCTGTATGCAAAACTGTTTAAGATTTCTTTTAGCTCTAGCGCTAGAAAAAGTAAATGGGAAAGAGAAAAAACGCGCGGGTGAAAGAATGAAAACACATTGAATTGGCTAGGACACAAACAATGCGAACTGTTGAGCAGCTTGGAATATCGACTGTTTCCACATGGTCGTAGAATGAATCGACGCGAACCGTGCAGTAATCTAAACCTACTCTTCAGCTCATACATGCCGCACTTGCCTTTGATCTATCTACTTAATTTTGTATATACACCAGTTATTGTATACACTTTTGTAATAGAAGAAATTTTTATAATACATAATAAACATAATTAAATACTATGATATACATAAATTCTGATATAAAATTCGAAAATTATTTAGCAAAAATTATTTTCTTCTTAGCAATACTTATTTTCTTATCTATGATTTAATTTATGTGCAATCCCCTTTCTGTTCCCATCAAGGAAGCTTAACCGACATTGTGATTATATTATACGAAAAAGGTATCTATTCTCTGGTTTAAGAACGTTTCAATTATATATATGCTCTTCCGGTTTACATAATCTTTTCCTGGAAACCAGACCATTCCCTGTTTATATTAAATAAATGATGAAGCAGTTGGCGAGGTTTCCGCAGTAAGAAAGAGAAACGGATGGCAGAGTTGGGTGGGAAAGAGGTGGTTTGCGAAGCGGCACGGACGAAATGAAGTGTCCTCTCTCGTGTCGAAAAGAGTAGAGGACGGTGATTCATAGCGAAAAGAATATCGAGAACCCTTGGACTCTATCTCCGCCTTCATCTCCCGGTCGCTTTCGTTAAGAGATATCGTTGCTGGATTTACGATCGGTAGGGAAAGAAGTGCAAGAAAAGGATGCGCGCGGAATTAAGTAATTTCATTCTGACAGTCGACAGTTTGCAATTTTCCCATTGCCCGCACTCCTTACCGGTGATTTAAATTGCCAGATAAAACTGATTTATTTAAGTGGAGAATCCGCGAGTTCGGCCACCGAGATATTCTTAAACCACGCGGATAAATCGATCGAGTTCAAATTAAACGTGGCGCACTACTGAACTATATATGTAGAACGATCAAGACAATTGAGGATGTTATAGCACGAAGGGCTCACCTCTATTTTTAATAGTTTATTTGTTATTACGTGTATGTAAAAAAAATAGTACATCGTTTGATGTTGAGATGTTGTGATGAAATTCCAATAGTGAAATAATTCATATGCAGTTTTTCATAATTTACTCGAAGTTAATAAAATAGCTACATTCTTCTTAATGCGATCCTCAATTCCAATCTGATTTCTGATAGACTTTCAGCAGATGAACAGTACAAAATATTAATGTAGATGACAACATGACTGCAGTATTTATTAAAGAAGCGTAAAACAATTATGTCAACGACAACGTTGTCGAGAAACGCGGTGACTCGAGCATTATCCATCGTCCTTACCTTCGCCAACTTCCAAGATACTCGGTCAACTGAAACGAAGAAGTCTGAGAAAGTTTGATCGTCGCGTCGCCTACCTCGAGTTAACCGATCGGCCGTCTCGTTAGTTTGTTCTTTTTGAGTTAAGTGACCAAAACGCGATACGCTCTAGGTTCACCCGGCGCGAAATAAATTTTTGATCTAATGATTGATCCAACATTTGATATAATAATTAATACAATATTTCATGCAATGCTCGACGAAATATCCTATACAATAATTCATTATTCTAATTAACACAACGTTTCATCTAATGAGTGATGTAATGTAATATAAACACAATAATTGATATTACAAATGGTACTTCACGTTAAATTGATGCTACCTTTTTACGTTTGGTTTTCTGCAACGTTGTACGTGGATACTCCATCGTTATTCAATTTGTTAAATTGAAAGAAAGCGATTATTGCGTTGTATCAACAGCGTGAAGCTGTGATCTAACGTTTCTTTCTTGATCTAAATACGTCTGGCTTTAAAGGGTGAATCCAATTATGCGGAAGCTCGATTACGTGTTTTGGTCCCGGGGGATTCGACCCAGGGTTCTGGCAAACGCGCGCAAAAGCCTGGAGGCTGAGCTTTCCTCGTTTAAAGATCAAACGGGGATTATATAGGCTTTGGAACGATGCCGATACGCGTCACGCGTTCTCGAGCTTTTTCATGTTTACCGCTCGTCAACGTTTCGGTACTTTTGGCTCGCAATTTTCATCCAGACTTTGTTCCTCACCGAAAAGAATTTCGACACGGTCCTCATAGCCGGTCGTAATCACCGTTGTTGGATAACAGCCGAGAGGCAACACGAGACGCTTACAGAGTTGTCCTTCTAATTACTTTATCGAATACCAAACTATCCGTTCCTAAGCTAGCCATAGATGTTTGCCCATATTTCTACAGTACAAGTTTATACCGTGGTATCATGTGTATATTTGATTTTGCTAACGTTTCCGGTGAGCCGCGGTTCGACGGGTCGAAAATCCTGCGTCGACGCGCGTGTGTGGGACGGCTCCGGTACCCATTAGCTTTGACGTCGACGCCGAAGAACGATGGTTAACGGAGCGCAAAGGCGATGTTTCAAGAGTTTCGACTAAATTAATCCTCGTTTATGTTCCTGCACAGTGACTATAAAAAATGCTTGCATATCTATTAATTACGTGATATCTCAATAATTATTCGACTCACCGGCTATTTATTTAACCTTCGATATGATCAAAAATTAAATACCAGACCTCGCGTTAAGCATTACTATGTGATCGGTAACAGATCAGTTGCTCTTTAAACTTAACTAATCGTAAGTGTGACTGAACGAAATAAATCATTTTTTTAAAGTAACTTTAACACCACTCTCCATAGTGAAAAGCGATTACCGGAGCGAGTAGCGTTTCACAAGAAATTGTATTAGCTCTGCCTTGGACAGCGGTAACCCTTGCATATCGAATGAACTTATTGTTGCCACCGATACGGAGGTACATAGAGTATACTGATACTCGTATCTTTGAAACTGATCCTCTTTCTCGATGGAATTACGTACCTATTACCATGCCTCGTAACGTACTTTCGCTTTGATTTATTTTCTGTCCTCGTGATTTCTCGACGATGGTACCCGAGATGATATCGGGACTAAAAATATCCGGAATCGAGTCGCGAATTAGAACTATCGGAAACGGCGAGACACTATCTGGCCGGAAAAAAATATCACGTCACTGCTTCGACATAAATTTCCAGTTCCACAGACGATAGCACCCGGACAAACAATTATCTCCAGCATTCCCGGAAAGTGAACTGCAGAGCGATTACCGCGATCTACCACCGCAATAAATTTATTTCACGTAATTGTAGTTAATGGACGGCTATTTAACATTTCATCATAACTTTGTTCGCGCGATAATCCTCCATTGTTCTTTCAACTTGGCACCGTTCGCGTGCGCATTATTTCTCTCCGGACGTGCCGCATCCTTCCATATCCCCGGGAGAATAATATTTCAGCAACGGGAAACAAGGTTCTCGACCGCGCGGACGAGATTACGGTAAACGAATCGATCGGTGCCATAAAAGGTGTGCACTCGCTCGCGCTTGAACATCGATGAAAAAGCGAAGCATATTTCATCCCACGCTCGTACTCCATGTTGTGCCTCAATTCTCTTAATTTTATCAAAGAAAACTTTTTTGACATAAAATAATTTTCTGTTAACGAATCTCGTTAATAAAGCAGATTATAGTTATTCATATGGGAAATGAAGAGTATAATAAAAGGATTTAAAGATCGACAGTGTAGCAAATCTCCTTGTATCGTATCACCGTTGCGTCATTATACACCCCGTTCATAAGTCATAAAACATTTCCATATACTTATTCTGTAAAAAGATCTGACAAGTCAATAACTATGAGAAACTTTTAATTGAACGATTATACTAAATCATTAAATAAATATATAATTGTTATCACACAACAAATCATACAATAAATCATGAATTGTACTAATTTGAAAATCAGAAAAAATACTTTAGTACACAACCCATTGGATAGAATAGGGAGATCTTGCATAACTTTCTAAAATGGAAGAAAGCAGATATGAACTGCAAACCAGTATTTCGTCAGTAATGAAATATATCTGAAGTTTTGTTATTTTAAATAATAATTCCTGTTATGGAACGCAGCATTGATACGCAAACGTGATGTGATAAGAATATGATACAAGTGCACCTTTACATATCATAAAGATATCGCATCGATAAAACCTAAAAATTGAACATTTAATTGTTCTGTTCGAAGGAGACGCACATGGCACCGAATGTCCAGAGGACAGCGTTCGAGGGGAGAACGGCGATTGCAAATGTGCGGTCGACTGTCCATTGGTCGAATGTCCAGAGGGTCAACGTCCGGTCCAGATGAAATCAGCGGATCCCGAAACGCCTGGTAGCTGTTGCGCTCGCTACGAGTGCGTCCTCTCAGGTAAGAAACCACGTTACGTGATACCATTCACCGAAATTCGTAAATTTTAATTTTGATCAAATCACGAATAAAGGTCTTTAATCAAAGTTTGTGTTATCAACACCTCAAATATTAGATTGAGCCAAAAGTTTCTTTCGCTATCTGTGCATAATACTTTGTTCCATTTATTAAAAATTACTCCCACAAGTTGAAGCAATTATAATTCTATAAATAATGTTTCCAACAAGGAGTGATTGAAAGAACGTTATACTCCATCACGATAACGCCACCCCTTAGGTGAATTTAGGTGTTAGAAACAAATTGTCAACATTTGATGTTGACAAATTGTTCTATTTTATTCTCCTGTGATCATTATTTATTCTCTTCGCGGTAAAAGGTTCAATAAATGAACATTAGTCACAAGAATTAATCTGAACCAATACACATTCTCAAACCACGAAAATAATATTTCGTTTCTTTTGGAGAAATGTAAAAACCTAATAGAACAGAAGATGGATCTTCAATAAGTCTGACATAATCATTATTTACTAATGAAGGGGAAGAAACTTCTGCAATGATCTAATATTCTTGAATAATAGCTTTTAAAAACTCGTCGCTCCTGAATAAGTCTAGTCGAAAGAGCAAATTGCTCGACTCTGACTAACAACCATTGCCCTGGGCGTGACGACTGTTTCAAATTTATCGAATTCCCTTTTTTTGTGACATTGTCTCTCTGTGACAGATTCCCGAGGATTGGTGCCGTGTCCCGAGAACAGCGTGCTGACGGAGGATGGGAAATGCGAGTGCGCACCCTGCCCACCGGCCAGCTGTCAGACCGGATACCGGCCCGTACAAGTTAGCGCTGCGCTCGATCGCAAGGCACCCGATAGCTGTTGCCCTCTCTACGACTGTAAACCTGCGGGTAAATGCCCACATATTCCCTATCTTCCGTTTTCCCCTAACAGGGTGCCTCTTTTCGATTATCGAATCATCAGTGATTCAACTTGATGATTCCAGATTGACGATTCATCACCATTATAAATTCATTGCCCTTTGTCAAGAATATAATTTTACGCTTACTAAACTAAAGCAGAGATATGAAAATTGTGAGACTGATAGAAGAAGTATCAAGTTAGTAAGAAGGAAACTTTTGATCTACCTGTTGAATTTTAATGAACCCATTCTTATCTCGTGGGTATTGCGGCTAACACGGTTATAGCTCGATAACGAAATGGACGCATGTTGGAATTTAATAACGGTCGCCGGTCCACCTCGGGGACAATTACCAATCCTCCATACAACCATTCGCGCGGTTACTAACAACAACTAATCTCATCCGCTCTAGTCTGTACGATCTCTCGATATATCGGATTTGTCGGTCACGGATTTCCATCTGGCGAATCCTATTGACTAACTAATATTGATTCCCTTTCAATCCGGGAGGCCTAGTTTATGCATGCATGATTCACATTGCAGAGCCCGTATCGCGGGTAAAAGTTCCCCCGGAAGTACCGGCATTAGAGAAATACTGCATTTACGAAGAGAAGGCGAGGAAATTAGGAGAACGATGGCAGCAATCGGATTGCGTTAATTGCATTTGCGAGGAAGACGGAGTGTCCTGTCAAGAACCAATGTGCAAGTCTTGCGAGAACCCGATTCCACCTGATCCCGGCGAATGTTGTCCGCACTGTCCGCCACTCATCGACCCCAAATCGCCTTGTCAGCCACTGGAAAATTGCGTGTTAACGTGCGAACACGGTTACGAGAGAGACAAAAATAATTGTCCCGTTTGCAGTTGCACAACGCATCAGGTACGTGGCAGAGAACGTCTCTGTGGATTGGATAAGTTCGAAGATTATTTATACAGCAAATTGATGTGCAGAAAATAGAAATGTCACGTGTGATGCACGAAAATATCAAAAGTCAATACATATAGAAATACTTAGGTAATAAAAGAAATACATATCTGAAATGGATTTCTTTAATTGGCTACCATAAACGTTTTATTTTGCACAAAAATCTGCATATCTCTGATGATTAGGAACAGGAACAGACAAATAACTGTAATCGTTGACTGAATCCCATACTTATAGGAAGATGACGAAGTGGAGGAACAACCGGTAACAAAGTTCATCGACGCCGACAAGACTTGCCCAGAGACATCGAATTGCGCTGCGAACTGCGAGTTAGCGAAGGACGAAAATGGTTGCCCGGTGTGCAGCTGTCAAACTTCGCACAACTTTGAACAGCCCACGAACGACACTGTGTTGATCGATAAGACCGGGAAAAAAATATGTCCCGAAGTGAAATGCGACCTGCACTGCGAGCGAGGATTGGTAATGGACGAGAACGATTGCACGTTCTGCGAATGTAGACCACCGGAATCGGGATGTCCTCCTCTGATCGGGTGTAGGAAGAGATGCCGTTTTGGTTACAAGACGAACAAACGCGGCTGTCCGGTAAGTTGTCTTCTAATGTATTCTTACATTTTACATAATAATTGTTGTAATACTTAATACGATATTCCATACAATAAAGTAATGTAAAATCCAATTAAAGCATCTGCTATAATTGTAATTGAATCTTACAGATATGCCGTTGTCGCGCACCCTGCACATACTACAACAACACGCATCCGGAAGGTGTGACTTGGCACCCGAACTCATGCACCTCGTGTACCTGCGAGTCCGGAGGAAAACTCAGCTGTAGAGAGACCATTTGCTCTGTAGCTTGCAACGACCCCTTGCCTCCGAAGCCGTCAACCTGTTGTCCGATCTGTCCTATTATGGTAAGCTCTTAAATCTCGGCATCAAATTTACGTTTGATATCATAATGAATTCGTTTTTTGTTTAATTTCAGCCAACGAAAGGCCACGGGGCGATTGGCCAACACGAGGTCAAAGGCTGGAGCACAGTACCTATCACCCTCATCGCGATACTCGCGTTGCTCTGTGTGTTGCTGATTGTACACATTGTCCGCGGACGATTCCGTGCTCGTCTCTCGCCTTCGGAGGCATCCTATTCTTCGTACCCGCCGCAATATTACAAATGCGTGCCGGTGTACGATACGCCGATGCATCGAAACGAGAAAATAGTACCCTTGTAAAAGACTGTCTGATAAAACCGGTTGAATAACGCGGGACATTCTGGGCGCAGGCGGCCGAGGAGGGAATCGAAGACAAAGAACCAAGGAAAAGCAAAGGAAGAGGAGACGAATCACTCGCCTTGAATGAAACGTAGTTGTCGCCAGCGATTCTGAACCCTAGCGTGTTTCACCGGTTAAGAAAACTATATTGTAGATTCAGTATTATTTGTAAGTAGCGGATGGTTTTGCGGTCATAAAGGAGAACGATAGGGTGAATAAAACGAAGCCACGCGAGGGCTTCCCGAATACTTTTCCGAATTTCCCTCCCCTACGATGTCGTGTTATAATATGTAAATTATATTATAAAAGCTAGCGTAATTGTCGTGGAGAAGAAGATAAAGAAAAAGTAAATATATGCTAACGATAAAAACTCGGTAGACCTTAAAGCTCTGATCGAGAAGCGTAGAGGATGAAAAAGCGGGCGTCTTAGTCGTAGTATTAGTTCCCTCGATCTCTGGACCATCGTGGCGTTTTGCGTTACGATCCATTGGCAATGCGAACTGTATTTTGTATTGGTTTTCTAGACGAGTTTTCAAACGCTTTTTTCCACGCGCAATTTTCCTTTCCTCTCTACACGCCTTTCCATGTTCGTTCTCTATTTTCTATTCTTATTTCCTTATCTGCGGTATGTAGTGTGTCCGATACCGTGGATCCCAAGAAAGAAGGACAATATTACTCCACGTTGTTCTCGGGGCATCGTTTATCACAATTTATATCGTTCGTGACAGAACCAGACGCCAGTTGTTTCTTATACTCGTTCCAGCGGGTTTCACAGCGGATTAAATTGGAACCATTTAATTTGTCATAGAAGAAGAATCACGCGCAAATAGAGAAAAATCTCTGAACAGTTTGTGCAAAAAGCTGACTATCACTATTCCAATCAGAAGAAAAAATATCGATGATTATCTTAAACAGTTAAATATTGATGAACATATTGCAAGGAAAAAATTAAAATTAGCCCCGAGCTCAATTTCTTACTTCATTTCTCATTCTTTCCTACACACACATATTTGTACAGCACATAAAACTAACTCGATCTGTACAAGTACCCCAGACTTATTCAAGTGTAAAAAAAAAGCATTACGCGTTCTACGAGGTCGCGTTTGTTCTTAAATTCGATGTTGCGTGTTACATCTCGTGCGACGACGGTAACGATGCAGCCACAACTGTATCCATTACTTTGCGAAATAACTCTGTTGTGAACCACGAAAGGAAAGAAGATTCGAAGGAAAATGCGCGCGTGCCCACGGATGCCTGTGTATGCGGACGCGTGTAAATGTGAATGAGAACGAGAGAAAGGGGTTGATGAATAGAGTGCGAAAGCGTGATGTAACGACGTTAGATTTCGGCGATGCATGCGTCGGAGAGAAACGCGAAACGTCTTTTAAATCATAATCGTTGTAACACCGATCTATCATGCGACTGCAAATTAAAACATATCTCTGTGTGCTTCGACGCAAAAACAAAACGCGCGCGTGCGCGCATGTAGAAACTCTCATCTTATCATTCCTCCTCTCCTAAACTAATGCGTACATATATTTTTCCAAATGCAACACATACGAGCATATACACACACTCATATCTTAACGTATCTAATTACATCGTCTCTAACCGTTTATCGTAAAGTGAAACGCTGAACTTGTACGCGTTTGGCACCACGTATAATAGAATTGATCGTCGATAAATCGCAGACTGTATTTCGTACGTGTACATGTATGTACGTTGGAGACAATATGTATCGACGACAGGTTCGTACGATGTTCCCGTAACGCGCGACAATCTGTGCACGAGACTCGACCGTTTCTCGTTCATCGTCCATCGATAAACGTTTTATCATTGAGGAGTAAGAAAAATCGCTTCAAACGCGAGAATCAGAGTGTTTTGAAAAACAATAGACAATTATACATTGTCTCTAATATTACAAATTCATCAACATTAACTGTTGTTATACATATCTCAGAATCCGGGAAGTACTTAATTGTATTTATTAAAAAGATGCACAGTTGTAATTGTTGTATGATTAGCATAAACTTTTGGAAGGCATAGAAGTGTCTGATTAAAGTACTACAAACTGCTCGTGCTCCCGAACGGCTTTAATACTTTTAGTGCTTCATATGCGAAAAAAATATTCGTAGCTATTAACGCTATTGCGAGAAGAAATGAAAATTTCGACATAACTATCGAGAAACGACGAGGAAACAATGGTCTCGTGTTTGCGCGCACCCCTTTTTCGTGTACAGTTTCACCGTAATGAAATATCATATCAGTGTAATCTAGACTTATTTAATATATGCGAACTTGTATGCATATTAAAATCGTGCGTCATGTTTAAAAAAAACGATAGCTCTTGTATGTTAAATAAAACGAGACTAAATAAAATTGTTGATATGTGATATATTGTATACGAGAGTTACACAAGCTGAACAAGCAATTTACTTACCATCAATTGTGTTCTCACTTATAATTTACGAAAGAGTTAAATTCATCTATGCTTGCACTTATTTTTCATAAAATGCTAAGTAAATTTTGATTTTACTTACCATTGGAGATTCCTGGTTCATTTTCCATAAAGTTAATCACTTTGAACAGAATATTGGTACATTTTATATAAAAGGAAACAATAGTAGCTTGTTATCACTATTGACTTCACCGTTGTTGTGTAAAACAAGTAAATTTAAATTAAGAATTTAAAGCTATTTGTACCGCGAAGTTACTTGACAAACGACCACACGAAGCCCTAAAAATTCCCTATAGACAGCATTGCTAACAACCTTGCGATCTAATCATAATCACGATACTTTCTTACGTCAATAAAATTAATATTGTTCTTGCAATTAAATTTTTAATATCATATCAGATATTTCAAAGATCATAAGCTATTTTAGGCAATTTTAGCAGATATGAAATAGATATGAATGTCATGGTTATAAAAAAGCTACTTACTGTAGAAAATCGCAATCACGGTCGTGATTGAGTATAATCACGACTCGTGATCGTGATTTTGTGATCATCGTGAAAAATCACAGGCCGGTATTCAGAGTCGTTGCTTATTCTTAAGTCGTCTTAAGCATTTGCTCAAATCCCTGTTTCTTGTACAAAACAGGAACTGGAAACATGGGATAGACAGGGATAGTATCACTCTGAATTCTGAATACCGGCCACAGTTAGTGACTTTGAACGCCATCTGTAGTTTCTAGTCCTAAGACGGTGTGTTCCTCTTTCTCTGATTTTCAATTGTAATGTATAAACGTCTTTATTATCGGTCCATAAGTGGCGCGTATAATTAATAAGTATCTGTGCTCGTGTCTACTTTTATTATTGACCGTAATTTATTCCTCGTTAGTGTCAAATCTTCACTTCTTGGCCACCGACGAAATTTAATTACTAAGTACCTTATTAGTATCAAATGGTAAGTGTTTAAACAATATTTTATACGTTGTTAACTTTATCGAAAGATGTTCGACATTGTATACCGTTTATTTCAAAATCAATCAATGCCGTGTCTTATTGCGTTTTTGTTTGCGTTATGTGATATTAATGATGATTTATTCCACTTTACTACTCATTTGATCGTTTTACAACTACCAAGCGGTAAGATATCAAGCCGCGCGTATTCTGTTGCTTAAGTATATTTTTTGTATTAATCAAACTACAACTTGAATGACAATGAGATATAATAACAGATTTCTGTAGCATCTGCATTGACAGGTAGTTCACTTTACTTATTCAAACATTGAATAATTTCTAAGTATTCTGGATAGGTATGTATACACATTTAAATAAATGTATTCATTGAACAAGTTGTTACCGGATATATATTTTACTAGAATAATCGAATCAACTCGTTTGTTTCGATCTAAATAGCATGCAAAAATGCGGACTGTAGATCGTTTCCGGGTTAGAAGACACGAACTGTGCGTTACCTATCCTTATTTGTATTTATTATAAAAAGATTGCATTACGTATAAAACACATTTTCATGATAAGCACCTTTATTTTTGTCCGTACATGTATTGTGTCCATCATGACAAGGAGAGGGAATGCAAAGATTTACTCGGAAGGAGATATCTAATTAATCGAAGCATAAGATTTATAGATATCTCATTTATTTTTATACATTTAATGCACCTCGCTTAATTGTACAGTAAGTTTTTGTCAAAGCAGTACACCATTTTGCGAGAGCTTCATCTTGCGATGCAAGATCTTACTCGTTTCATCTTAGGCTGCGAGATCGAATAATCGTTTAATAATCATTTAACCGTATACCTAGTACTGCGGTCAAAAATATATTTTACACCAGAGATATAACACTGCAGACAACCTACATATATACACACACGCTAAATGCGACCGAGAGTCGCTGTCCTTGCGTGCAAACGTTACCTTGGAGTCAAAGAATCACCAGTTCAGTTTTAATTGTTCTCAAATCAGTTTGCTACGAATTGAGCAGCTCCGTCGAATATAACCTGCGCAAAGACGAAGGAAATAATTCGTGTCTAGTAACACGATGTCGATCTATATTCGTTAAAACGCGACCTCTTGCACGTTTGCTATTAGCTTTTTGTCAGACCAGCAAGGAGGAGAGGAACAGGCGGCGACTCCATCTTTCGCGAGGGGTGCGCGTGTTAAACCAGTTCTTCCTCAAGGTATAGCTCCTCCCAGAAATTTTATGGAGAAACTTACTACTCCATTGGCTGGAAATCATGCGATTGATGGACCTCGCCGTGTGAGAAAATTTTTCCAACGAATTACTTGCTTTTTTATCGATTTCCAATAGGCTTCATAACCGCGAATTAATTTCGATCCGGAGCATCGGTTCGCGCGATACGATAAATTTTGAGAGGCAAGACAAGTCGAAATAAGTAAAACACCGAGTCAAGCGAACGCGTGAACACGGGCGAAAACGTCGTCGGTTTGACTTGGTTGAACCGCATCCCGATCTGTCTCGTAGTCGGTTGGTCACGTTGAGTGTTGCGGAGGCGGTAGCGCGATTTCGTACCCCGACGGCATGCCCTGTTGATGATGCTGATAATGATGAGTCGACATCATCTGATGATGCGTCTGTTGGTAATACTGATGATGCATGCTCGAGTGGTTCGGATAATAAACCGTACTTTGGTCCGCGTCTTTAGCTGAAACAAACATATGTTGAATTTACTTACTTTGCTATATTCCATTTTTGTGCAAAGTACGATATTTAGAATATAAGATTAACGAAAGAAAATTAGATATGCTTTGTTCTTACTCATTAAATATCATAGCACGAATATCGCTTTCAATACTTTGTATATTTTCGTGTGTTCAAATTTCAGCATACTCATGTCTTATAAATGCAATTAATAATCGGCTTACCGGTTTCGTAACTACTACGTCCGTAACATAACGCTTTGACGTCGTTCATGGGACTGAGGCCGCCGTTATGGGGGTGCGTTGTATGCGAAGGGGTGACGGGTGTTCCGTATCTTGGATGACGGGGTGGCATAGAACTCATACCCATCGGACTGCAAGGGTTTACAGCGACCGGTGACATGCTCATTGTCGACAACGGTGACATTGCCAAGTTCGAGCCGTTCGAGTCGATGCTTTGTAGCTGAAGACTGTCCCCGTTGCTCACCGAGCCGCCGATCACATTGTTCGCACTGCTCTGGCAATTTAACGGCAACATATCCCTGAAAAGTGTAGAAAACAAAAGTGAAATCGCAGCGAAAAACTCGCGCATGCGAGGGTTCACGCTGTGCGGGGGTCAACTTCGGACGATGTGTACCATGTATCGAGCATGACCGACGGAATCGGGTCGCAAAAGAAAAATTGTCCTCGAACCCCACCGTAAATCTCTGCCCTTCCCGTAAGTGGAGAAAAAGGTCGAGAAGCACATGCGAGCTTTCCTATTGTCTTACGAAAAAAAAGTGCCTTTCCTCGTCCCCAGGAAAGACCGGACGATTAACGGCTCGTTCACGCATACACGCGTGTTCGTTCCGAGAATTTTCTTGACGGACTCTCGGCGAAGATTAAAGAGAGAAAAGAGAAAATAAATTCGTTCGCGACGCATTGTTCACAGTCGCCCTTTCGAAAGCAATGCTGCTTCCCGACGATCTGCACGCGCGAACCTTCTCTGTCCTGATTCTTTTGCACGGCAAGCCGTTCCCGTGCGTATACCCACACGTTTCCGTTCGCGGCCACGCACGTGCACGCACGGTGGTCCGTGTGCGAGCAGCTCCGCCCCTAGCCGCGCTTCGGTTCCTACCACATCGCCGACCTTCCTTCGCCCTGCCACGGGCCGTGCATTTTTTTATGGTCTCGTTCCAAGGCCTGAACCTTCGAAACGCGTCTCTCACCCGTTCCTCACAGACTCGTAACGAGTCCACTTTGAACGATCACCGCGAACGACGTAAACTTCGGCACGATAGCGACTTCCTCGAATCCAATTCATTGAACGATTGTTTACTTATGCATAGTCATAATACTGAAAGTTTCCTTGAAAGAGCTTCAGAACCAGAGACCCACGATACAGACTATGGGTTTCAATACAGCTATAAACAGCCGCAGAGATTGATTCATTATCTAACCAGAGTGGATAAAACGAAATTGTTTTAAAACATACTTATTCACGCCATACGCGATGTCCCAGCGAATAGGTGGTTGCGCATTAGCAGAGCAATACGTACTCTAGGATAAATGGAGGCAAAACGTCGGAGAACCGGCCGTGGCCTTTATGTAGTAAACTATTGGTAGTGCGAACAGCTCAATGGTGAAACGAGAGACGTAACCGAAGCTGCGTCATAAAACGGTAATGGGGCGTCGCATTTCCTTTTCGTGGAGGCTTTGCCGAGGGAGGACGTTAGGGGCGGATCACGGGACACGAAAGTTCGAACCGTGAAGATCCATCGAACGACGAGGCGCGACAATTTTTCCAAGGAAGACCGATCGACAAAATTATGCGAAACAAGAAGAGAAGAAAGGAAACCTACGGGCGATAACGAAAGCATCATCGACTACCGAGAGCGCGCGTCGCGTCAGCGTGAGGTCCAAAGCGAACCGTGACCAAGCCACGTCGTAGCCATAACAACGTTACCGCTCTCTCCGTTTACCCCTGTCCTTTTCCTTTTTGCACGCGCACGCAACGCCTACGCAACGTCAAAATTCGAGCGGGATGCGTGCTCGCCAGATTTTGTCAGATTTCGGAAACAATTTTCGATAGAAGATCGATATTTAGGTTGAATTATATCTCGAAAACATTTCTTACGAGAGATTAACACAAAAGATTAATTACCATGTTTTGATATTTATAAACGATAATGTAATTCTAGTAGTCCTAATCTGATCACGATTCTCAGACTGTGCTGTATATACCTACTGAGAAGCGGACGAATATATCCGACATTATCTAACCGCGGTTCATTATTCGTTCCTTCGGCATTATCATGATTTACAAATGCCACTGGACGAATCGCGAATATACAACGACCACTATCGCGACAACAAAAGTCAAGGGACAGAAGCGACGAAAGTAGTAATTAAAGAAATGGGCCGTGAGGGTTTTTCAACGTTTCCCATCCGAAAGACAAGAAGTCGCGCGTAACTCCGATGATTTTCGGCTCGTTCCCGGAATGATTTACCGTCTCCGAAACGGTCAGCTCCTCGAAGAGAAACGCACGGTCCTTGTACACATGTCGAAACACTTGTTGCGTGGTTGAAAACTCGAGAGGACCCCCCGTCGACACACGTGCCCTCCAGCAGGAAGTCGTTGTCGGCTCCCCGGAGAATTTTTCAAAATGACTTACGTTCTCGTTTGCGGCGTTCGATCCCTTTGCCGTCGATTCTTGAACCAATTCGCCACCTGAGTCAGGGTTAACCCGGTCTCCTTCGCGAGGTTCTTCTTTTCCTCGGAGAGCGGATACTTGGTCCTCATGTAACACTGTTTCAACGCGTTCCTCGATCGCTCCTTGAAACAATAAACGACCTCCTCGCCGTCCCAAATGGTCTTCGGCAAAGGATACTTTTTCCTGAGCCTGTACTTGTCTACAGCACCGAGCGGCCTGCCGCGAATCTTCTCCGCCTCGCGGTAGTGCGATGTGAACCACATATCCTGCAACTTCTGATGACGGTCCGGCGAGAACGGGTGACTCTCTAAGATCGAGTAAAGCTCGTGATAGGCGCCCCGATGAAAAGCGACCGTGGCTCTTGCTATCAAAATGTTCTCGTCGCGACGGAGCAACTCGCCGGGAGGAAGGGACCACAAAAGCCTAATACCGAAACGTACGGTAGTTTTTTAGATTACGTGCTAGCAAAGTGAACTTTCATCTTGATAAAGCACTTAAGTAATATCACACTGGAAGTAGAAATAATGTCGCCGATTTCTATAGACACCAACAGTACAGCTTTTTGGAAATGATAAATGCTAAATTTATGGTAAAACATCTGAAGTCATTTGTGGACAATAGAAACAATGTTGTCAAGTGAATATTTATGATCTAAGGTGAAGAGTTTGACGATTAGATGTAAGAAGAGAATCGACTCGGTTCCGTCGGAAACCGCCGAACCTTTAGTCCAGGATAAAAAACATGCGTGTTGTGGAAAACAAGGTGACCGAGGATAGGTAAATTCTTCTTGTGAATTTGTTGAGATAGATTCGCATTTAATCGTATCTAAATGTAACAAAGCTTACCTCGTTAGCTTTTCAATATCCTGTCTCTGCAATAACGCCTTGCACATGCAAGATATCTGATCCGGCGTATAATTATTCACCGTGATTCCCAAAGACATTGCGGCAACATTTCCTACGCTCGTCGACGAATTCGCCGAGGTGCATGTGGTTAACTCCTGAGGGTACTGAAGGCTCCCGTTCGACGCCGGCGTCAGAGTTTGCGAATGATGCGTCAATGCGAGTCCCGGCATCGAGGAATCCTCGTACTGTCCAGCGGATGCGTTTCGATGCATACCACCCATTTGACTGCTGCACTCGCTGCCCGGCGACGACAGTTGGTTCGAACTGTCCGGCATTCTTGCTGTCGTTTCTTCTCCTTCCAACACGGACTAATATCACTCGGTACTCACTTCATCGTCGCAGCAGAGATTTCGTGATTCCGATTCCTAGAACCGTACGTTTCGCTCGACAACCGCGATCTCCCCGAGACCCCAGCGTTATCGATCAGAAAATAAACGGTGATACGAGCAATCGTGCTGCGCGGGTGTGCGTGGTGGCTACGGACCGACCGGATGAATAGCTCGTGACGAAAGTAAGCATCCGTTGCTCGAACGATCGACGCCGTTAAACGATTGTTCGATCGTCCGCGTCTCATTCATATCCCCGCCATCCGTGTGTTCATTCATAAATCCTTACAACTGTTACCCGGTTCGTCTTCGATGACCGTTGAGATCGTTATCATCCAGCGGCGACCAATTTTCCTATTCAGTTTTCATCACCTTCACACTTTTCACATCGAAACACTGTCCTGATCGGTCGCTCCGACGAAAATTCAGTAAATCCCGAAGAATTTTTAGCAGAGATTCACATGTCACAAGTACGAGGCTAATCAAAATGGAGGCAACACGATTATGAAGCGAGAGATCGGAGAAATATCGCGAGCGGGATCGCGTGAAAGCGCGGTAACACGGTTCGGGGACGAAGTGGTTACTCGACTAGACGATGGCTAGTGGTGCCAGTGGCACTGCCGATCATTTCGCTCCGATGCCGATGCCGTTTGGTGGAGGAAGTCGCCGGTGGTTGTTCTCTGTTCCTCTCGCGGTCGACCGCCTTTCTCATTTTTTTTCGTCGCACGCTCGCGCCGAGAGGAGTGGAACCAGTGGCAACGTGTCCCCGCGATTGGTCGATGAGGAGCGCGCGAGCTCGTTTCATTGGCAAGCCACGGGGGCGGCGCCAACTTACCCCCTGGCCGGAAATCCACCCCTATTTGGTCTCCACGGAGACCACGGTGCCGTGTCCTCACCTGCGGCCCGACCTCGACGCAGCCCCAGAGATGATCGCGCGAATCTTTTACGTGTAAACACACTTTCAGTTCACGCGAATTGTTCTCTCAGTACTTTTTACTCGCGTATTCCCTTAAATTTTCATGCATTTCTCTTAAAAAAAGTTCTTTAGTTAATCCTGGGACAATAAAAAATTGTGCAGAGAAATGATAGACTTCATATTTGTAATCAATCTTTGTATCAGATTCTTTAATACTTTAAATTGCCTTTTACGAGTGGTTAAACCTGTTGCCAATAGGAACGAATCTATTCTCTTGGAAGACTATCTACTCATAAATGAAAACTGGCACTGTCGAAAGTCGCGTGTGGTCAAACGACTGGAGCGAGAGCGCAGGAGGTGAGCAACAAACACCGGAAACGGAACGCGACAACGTTACCGTACACCGTGTTGTGATTCTACTTGGTGCTATCGCACCTCGCGTTCGATTAATTTCACAACACCGGCAATAATTCCCTTGCTTCTATCTCCGTCCTTTTTCCGCGTTTTTTTCCTCGTTTAGCTCGAAACTGGGCTAATCGAGCTTACGCATTTCGCACGAATGTCTCCGTACGTGAGATCGGCCACAGTGTACATGTTTATTAACGTTAATCGATCTCCGCATTAATTAATTTCTAATGAAATGTGAATTGCACGTAAAGTCATGACAGTTAATCTTTAAAGCAATCACAATGCATCTATTTATTAATGTAATTCGATATTCATATTAACTGATGTCGACCGATGATTTCAGGACGAAAGTAATAAAATATAATCTTATAGTCCGTGGACAGGAAGTTGATGAAAATAGCGTCGAGTGTGTCGGGACCACCGGCGTTACGTAGATCAATGAAAGCCGATGCTCTGGCACAAACGTGTCTTTTAACGAAAATCTCGATGTCTGCCACGCCTTGCCAATCCTTTCAATCCTCTCCGCCTTTTCCGACTAATTGCCCTCCGTCAGTCTCTCGGACTCGTTCCACCGTGACGAGAGGCAAGACTTTGACGAATTTCCCTGTCAGACGTGTCCTGTCTGCATCAGTTCTCACTGATGTTTCCTCCAAATATTATTCGTTTCGAATTCCGTTTCGTAAAAGTATGACTTTAACTGTTCAATTTTAATGACGCATGAAAATTAGCTGCTCTGTTCTATCGATGTTTGGTATTAGTAATATGTTATTATGAGTATATTATGAGTTATTGTATGAATACTGATATAATATTGAAATATAAATTGTGTATAAATTTTCATAATTGACAATGACTCGGTGCCATAATTTCTTTATGATTATAAAAAATATTATTTTCTGAAACTTCCTCAAAAAGACTCGTGAGTTGAATATTTTTACGAAATTCTTTGATTGTCCTAATTTGTAAAGCGCGCTCCAGATTTATAGAGCGATGACACTCGCAGTGGCAAAAGCCGATGATAGAGGGGCGGTGCCGCGCTTTGCGATGGCGTCTCCTTCGATTTGGTGTCGGATATCTTTCCAGCCGCCATTTTCCCGCTTCCCTCCTCTCTCTCTCTCTCTCTCTCAGTTGTCTCTTCCTCCCACGCCCTCCCCCTCCATCATCCCTCGGATGGCACCCCGTTTCGTATCCTTCGCGTATCCTCTAGGACACGGGGGTAGCTTTCTTATCCGAACGATACCGGGCCGTGACGATCTCTTCATCTCCCTCCTTTTTTCGACACCCCTTCTGAGATTATCAAGAAAACTTGTTACCCAGCAATAACTTCGGTCCATTCGTGGAATTATCCGGAAAATCATTTTGCGTGATAATTTCATGATTCACTATACTCCATTCAAACAAATTTTCCGATTCGGCTAGAAATTTCAAGGGTCAAGCTGCACTGTTACCAAGTTTCACTATCAAAAAGGAATAAAGAGATTTTTAAGAAGAACACGTTCTTCTTGATCCTCTTCTTTTCGACACCCGTTTCTCTTTTGAGACTACGTTTTATATAAAGAAAACTCGTTACTCAGCAACCTAAGTCTATCGTGGAAACATCTGTAGGAAAATCGTTTTACGTAACAATTTCGTGATTCACTTTGTTTGTAAGAACCAAATTTTCCGATTCAATTAGAAAGTTGGCGGATTTCAAGAGCTTCACCGTTAACGAGTATTGAGTGTCAAAAGATTTTGGAGCAGGACACGCTCCGTTTCGTTGTCAATGGAAGAATGAAAGACAGTCTTTCACCGGTAGGATTCGTACCTGGACAAAACGATGGTATTCCCAGCTAGGGGAAGGCGGCACGAGAAGAGGAGAGAAGGAACGAAACAGAGCAGAGGGAAGGAACACGGAACACGGTAGCAGCATGGCAGCGTCGTATTTCGTTGTACTGCGTTTAATTGCATTCCAAAATGGCTCTGTGCAAAATCGACCCGACGATCCTCCGTTTGTTCTCGTTCAGGCCCTTGAAACTCGTCGTAGCCGCGTTACTGCACCCGGCATCTTCAAACCCCGGGCTGCGAATCCCAGATAAATTAAACCCGGAGCCTCTCGTACATTTCAACGGCGACATTTCTCACTTCTGCGTTCCGCTGTCCGCGACTTCAAGTATCTATGGTTTCACCTAGGACGATCAGGACAAAGGGCACAGAGAACCGCTCGCATTTTCAACATGATTCAAACGTCGTTTACGATGACAAGTATTCAATCCCTGTTATCAGACTACTGATTTTTAGACGAGACAAAGCATTTGTGACGTCAATTTAAAAGATTAAATCTAGATTGACCATTCTTCGAAAGTAACATTCACATTAGATAGATGCTGTCCTTATATTTTCTGCATATTTAATTTTTTTATCAACACATGAAATCCGCAGACTGGTTATCAATATCGAAGCTGGAGGTGAATATTCCAGGCACTTCGATTCATTTAAAGAAATCTCGACAGCTACTAGCATCTAATAGATATTTATTCAAATACATATAGGAATTTAGATTGTGCTAAATGCCTAATTGAACCAGAACTCCATAAGATCGTTTCGAACAACTATGTTTTCTTAAGTTCAATGAGCCGATGATAATTTGAATTTATATTCGGTTCGCACGCTATCGATACTTGCGAATCGAACCGGGCAAAGAACAGGGCATCTCGTATTTCCATACAAACGGTTCTATGTATACGTGCCGACGTTTATACCTCTATAATTAATATCGGCGAACAATAAGCGGCGCGTTGCGCTCACGGGGTTGGCGAGTCCCAGCGCGACGTGTTGGTGGTCGAGACATCGGACACCGCGTCGACGAGATAGCGGCTATCTTCGTGCACCCGTGCATTACGTATACGCGAGACGACTAGAATCGTCGACGATCGGTAGTCGACCGGTTTATTTTTAGAAGCTGACATTCTTTGGACACGTACAGGTGAGTAAGCTCTTCGAAAGCCACTCGATTTTCAGAAACGATCTCCTCCCCTCGAATCTTCTGATACCCTTTCGATGATTCTGTCAAGTATAATTGTCTTGAAAATATGCTATTTCTTCATTTAGTGACGAGCATACTCGTCCTGCAGTAAAAGTAATTTGCAGAATTTGGATAAGTCAAAAAATATATTCAAAATTTTGATAATGCAGTAACAGCAGAGATAATAAAAAGTGGATACTTTAAAAATGTTCTTGACGAATATACGCCTATTAAAAATAATTAAACGCTTGAGCGCACGTCTTGAAAATGAAATAGAGCACTTGGAGGTCTGATATCCCGTTCGATATCGAACATTGTAAACTGTAAACTTTAGTCGATTAGATAAAATAACGGAACGCAATGATACGAACAGAAATAGAGCAAAATATCTGGAGACGAGAATACGTGATTCGTTCGATTCTCGCGCAACAATGAGATCGCGTTAGCGAGTAGGATTAAGCGTCGTAATCCGTCGGTTATTTCCCCATTAACGGGGCCGGCAGAGAGATCGGTGCGGAAGATTCTTTGGATGGAAAAGCGCGAACAGGCGTGAACACAGGTAGCTGGTCTGAGACCTTCCTAATGCCAGAAAATATGCTCTTTATGTGTCACTGGCCACTTTATGCCCGTGGTTTCGTGTCAGTGAGTTGGGTAGATTCGAAAGGGCGGTCGGTTCATCTTTGTTTCGCTGTTCAACAGGTATATGCTATTATAAAATGTCGCAACCATAAAGCCAACGAAGAAATTTTAACCATGCAACATTAACGTTAACATTGCAACAATCATGGTTGGATAAATATCTTTTCAAGTGTCCTTTGATTTGTTCATTAAAAAAAAATTTTTAGCCGCACGTGTTCCTTGTAGCAGGGTCCTTTAATTTTTGTTATCATTCCGCGTTTGTACACAGTTTCGTGTATTGTAAGTCACAGAAGCGAAAGTGCAACGCGCGTAGAATGTCGTAATAGGCTGGAATTGTCGATTACACGGTTAGTTAGGCGCGCAGACTGATTTGAGGGTAGTTGAAACGACGGACTGTCATCATCTCTGTTGTAACGCACGCCAGCTAAACACGTTGTGCTTTGGAAACGGGTACGACGATAAGCAGTAACCGGATTAAAAGGGGCTCCGAGAAACATCATTGAGAGGCCCAAAGAAAAATACATCTCGTCGCCACTCTTATCCTGCGCCATAATAAACAATAAAACAGCAAAAAGAAATGAAATACGCTTATCGTTTAAATTACGC